AAATGAAATATAAAATGGCAAAAAAACATCGGCATCACAATTCTACAGTGCACTCCTTATATAGATATCTGAGAGATATGAGGTATGTTATTATGCTTCTCTATCTCCTTACCATACTTTTGTTCTTATATCCGTTCTAAATAGAATACTTATCATAAGAGTGAGCCAAAGCTAATTTCACTAGGGGAAAGTAAATTTAACTAATACAGTTCCAGTCAGATTTTTAATTTAAATGCATATCGGGCAGGAAATCCAAAAGGTCCTTAAATATTAGACCAAAGCACACAATACAAGTTGACAATATTATGTATTGTCCTAAATCTCATTCTCAAATAACGATGACGCAAACCTTCTTTGAGCTCATTCCGTTTCTCTCGGACTCAGTGAAATTAAACTCTGTGTAAGTTCCCCATTAGCCTTGTTGGAAGAATCTCAATCCAAACGAATCAACCGTAGACCCCGAGAAGACAATTGGGTGAGGTATTTCTTACAGCGACACATCAGATGGAGCCTATATTGTATTTAGGAAAAGTAGCAACCTATAATATACATGAGTGTTAATGCTACCAAAGGTTTACAATGTGAAAATTCTTCCTTTTAGTTATCTTGGCATTTGCTTTCTTTGCATGTTTGGAATTGTAATGGTCTTCGGGATGCGTAAGTTTCATTTTTTATTAGTATTGCAGCCGGTTGATGTTACCTTTTCTTTAGCGTCTACTTTAAAATCAATATTGCTGTTAAACGCGATTTTCACTCTCTGGTTATAAAATCAACAAAGTGGAAAAAAAACAAACATCACAATCGATACCTGAAATACAAGCAAAGCCGTAAACTATGTCGGGCCAATTTTGTTAAAATATTGAACTCAGGGCAATGACCTCCTGAAATTGTTCATGCAGTAGCAATACTACTTTGTGTAATATAATATAACAGTTTGGGGTGCATTTTTTTAGAAAATACATTGCCAGAACCGAACAAGCGCTCAAACCTTGTGCAGTAGTGATCTGGAAAATGCGTTGTTTTAGTGGTATAACGACCAGCAGCTTTGATTTTACTAAAATCCAAACAAGGAGTAAATGAATAAATGATAATAAATAAATTTCCTTTGTGCACTAGGAATATGCTGTTTGAAATTACCAATTTTTTAATATTTCAAGGGTTTTGGGAGTTCAGCATTTAGGAATATTGCTGGCTTTTCTATCAGTAAGGAACTGAAAAAGGTATAAAAGAGCGTTGCTATCTTAAGTGGGGTATAAGAATCAATAAGTTAAGAAACACCCTTAAATTGCTAAAATAGAAAACTACGACTACCCTAAGAGATAAAAGAGAACTCTGATATGCTAATTGACAATGACTGATACACTTCTCTTTGTAATCCATTCCGCTATGAGGCAAAAGCATAGCTTAACCAATTTGCGATTTTTTGCTTCAAATTTTCTGTTTGTATAAAAACTTGTTTTAGGATTACATTCATGCTTAATTGACCAATAAATAGACAGGCCCTAATTCCTGCATTGGACATAAGTTTACATCTGCCCCGTATTTTAACCACTTTTCGATACTCCCAGACAGATGTTTTCATAAAAAAATACTTACGCATAAGACATTTTTTGGGACGCAGTAACTCAAAGTGAAAAGATTTACACCTTAAATCGCTTCAGCTACTTAACTTCTTCTTTCTAACTTCACCTTTGGTATAAAGTAAGTAGTCTCGTCTCTATGATAGGTAGCTAACAATTGACACTGAGCATTATCTTCTTTGCCAGGAGCAAAACCGTGGAAATTATTCTTCAATTTTAATCAAACTGAATAACCTTAATGAACAAAATAGTAACCACTTTATTACTTCACATATCTCAGGAAATTTGGCTCTCATATTTAGCTCAAATTAATTATGTAAGGCATTTGAGCCTAATACCGTGTTTTGTATCCGGCGGATGCGATTACAGCGGTGACGCGTACCGATGGGCAGGAGGGCAGCCTAGAGGGGGGTCTTGCAGACCGCGGAGCCATCGATGCCCTGGAGAGTCGGTTGGAGGAGCTCTTTGAGTCTCTGCGTCAGCGAAGGGGCAACTTCTTCCGATTCGGAAAGCGAAGCCCACCATATCATCATCGAATCGACTTGCTCGAAAAAGTACCCTTTTCCATTGTAGTCCCTATCAGCTTCATATCTACTGTGCGCACATGTCATGACAATCACTTATTCTTGGCTAGGCCCTCATGAATCAGGTTTATACCATGTAGTTGGATAGATTTGCCCTCTGGATTTAAAGATAATGACATAGGTCAACTTACTAATGAGTACAAATACTCTACTAACAGACACAGCATGTAAGAAAAATGCAGTGTTACTTAACAATTTCTTTTAACACATTTTTCATGTCAAAGGTCCTAAAGATTAGGTGACCGTATTTAACCGTATTTATTCTATGTCGATTTCGACTAACTTATTTGTGTTTATCTTTAATTTTAGTTCATGTCATGATCGAGAATGTGGATTTCTTGAGCACCGATGATGAGCTTTTTGTATGAACCGATCACAAAAATAAATATTTATGTGATCTTGATTTTCGTTCTTATTGTTCATTATTTGTGTAAAAACAGTTCTCAAAAAAGAAGAATTAATCGTAAAGGCAGCGCAATGACTTTCGGTAAATCTAAGACCATTTTTGCCGAAGACGAAATTTATCCAAAGTTTAAAGCAAGCAAGTGTCAAATTCAATTAAATTAATGGATTTCAAAAGTAACCATTAATACCCTTTTAGTACTTCTTTATGCTATAACTCCAAGTCCAGCTTGTAATTGGGTCAGATTTTCTTAAAAAAATATAGTTTTGACAAAGGACGAAATCACAGGCAAAAGATTTATTAACCAATAATCAACGCAACTTATGCGTTTTAAGATGACATCTAAAGCGACTCCAGTGCAGGGTTAGGAGCAGAACATCTACTCTGTTAGTAGTTTCGTCTACTTGTAAGCACTGCACTCAATTCTTGAGTTTACTTCATAATTAGAGCCTAATTTTTGATCAGAATAAAAATAAAAGTCTTTCAACATGCATCATTAATTTTTAATAATAATCTTAGATGCTCGATTCTGGCGCACTTGAAGGCGATAAACAGACTAGGTGCACCATCTTTCCACATAAACCTGAAACTAAAATTGTTTTGAATTCCACGCAAAATGCGTAACTGAATTTTGTGTCAGTTTAGCATTTCAGAGAAAACTACACCATCATTATCACAACATTTCCTACAAATTCTAAATACAATAATTAAAATTGGAACACGATTGTGGTAGGAATGAAAAGGAAACCAACCGTTTATCCTGTCGCTATCCAGCTGATGGGATTCTCTACCCAAGGGATGGCAACGGCATTGGGATTACGCAAAGATGGCTGGAATCCTCGCCTAGGCTTAAGAATTTCCAAAAAATGATATAAGGTAAAAACTCCGGAGGTACACAATTGCAGTCATTTACAAGAAAATTCAAATATACACATGCTGTTGCTAAACACATATCCGATGTTATTATGTGCATTTGAACTATTCTCCCACAGTTAATCAGTCATTTTTGTACTTCCCAACCACACATTTTGCGATCCAGAATTGTTTCATTCATATTCGCCCGTAATTTCTGGACGGGTTGGCTCTGCCCAAAGTGGCATTCTTCATTTATTTGGGTGCCTGCTTATTTTAAAAGCCGCGGGCATTTGCTGTTTTATTTACCAGAATTCTGTCCTTCAGGTAGCATAACAGCTTATTTCCTTATTTCTCCTTACTGCTTTATCAAAAAATAATGCCTCTTTCAATGCCCATCTACGTTACTCTCGCGCGGATGCAAATGAATGCGTTTCTGGTGTTACCGGATTTCGCTTTCATGTCATTCTAAAAGGTACTGGCTGACTTCATTCATTAGAGCATCAGTTCTTAATCTGCGAGCTGCTCAACTTACTGATTGCGAAGTAATTTTTCGTTAATCTTGGTCTGCGCCCAGTAGTTGAGGGAGCGGAAGGGGCTTTGGCGGTTTAGTTTCGACCTGACTTTGAGATCATCAAAGCTTGTCTTCATCGTTTCTCCCTGCAGAGACAATGTCAAGCGCTTAGCTGCTTTCATCTGCACTACTTAGTCGGAAGGCGGGCGGTTTTTTGCTTCTTTTTATCAAAATAAGCTAATTTATTTTAAAGCTTAATAAGTCGTAATTCATGAATAACAGAAATTGCCATAAAGGATGAATATGACATTCAGACATATTTTAACCTAATTTTAGTTTTTCATTCTGTTCGGCGGGTCGTGTATGGTTTCAAATAGGATGCCAAATCGCGAAGCCAATAATCTCTAATTTTTTCGAAGATTACATTATTTGAAAACGCAATCGGCATGTTTGCAATTCTTTAGTAGAAATACTTTAGCCGTGCGGTATGTTATAAGTTTTAAATGGGTACCATTTACTACTTATCAATTCATGATAACTGGCTGTTCCGAATTGCGTTGTAAATGCATTGATTGATATGCAAACAACAGTGTTTCTAGCCTAAAACATTTAACTTCTTTTAGTTCTATTATGTTTAAAGGGTGAAACATCTGATCAGGGGTAGCTGATTTTCCCTCAGATTCGGGTAGCAGTAGCGTTAAGCTATACTGGCTCATGTAAAGAAAGAAAAGTATTCAGATGTCTCTACCTGTTGCCTTCTTGAATTGGGTGTACTTATTCAGGAGTTATGCACCTTGTTGTTTATCTGCTTCTATAATTACCAAGAAAACATTTAAAATAACTTTACTACTTAAAACTACCAAAATAGAAGTTTGTCTATTCAAAAGGCTGTTTCCACAGTTTAATTTGTCCAATATCAAGCATGCATGCTGTCGACTAAGTTATTCTAGTGGGTGCAAAAGGGCAAAATCCTAGTTTGTAAAAAGACAATCAGTAATCACCCGAAAATTCATGGTTTTATGATTTTTAGCAAATTAGAGCACGTGTAGGATCGACAATGCATATGAATGATTAATAACGGTTTAGCAAGGTACGACCACAGACGTCGAAAAGTGGAAAATACCATGCCATGGCTGAATAGTTTCTCTCCTCAAGATAAATCAAAGTTTAGCATATTAAATCACACTCAGTAAAATTGCTCTATTGTTAGCTATCTGTCCCAAGCAAAGATTTTTTTAATCGTGACATTAACTAGGGCCTATCATGTACGTTTGAGAGGATATCGTGGTTTTTTCATTCACAAAAAAACTCTGCTCTAAATTTTATAGATGTTTCTCTGCAGGGCGTGTGGTTATTTTTACATAAGCATTGGATTTATTTCATGTATCACAAATAACTTCTGTTATTGCTTACTTACTAAATCAAGTAAGCAGAGAATCTTAATAGTTAGATCCATTTTTAATCGAATTTGCAGGTTATCATTTACTCCAGTGAAATGTTAATAATTGTGAACATTCCCTTACTCTCGTACAAATATATGTTCAGCTTTAAAACACAGAAACCTGAATTTTTCCTTTAAGCAAACTGGAAGCTTTTCCATAGTATACTAGATTTTCTGAAAAAGTAGGATTTCAGGTCAGCTTTTTTAAGGTAAGTGGGAATCATGGTGTGCGCTACGGGGATTACATGCGCCTACAGCATCTACAAATCAGAAGTCTGACTGATAACTGGTTTAAAACTTTTTAAATATGCATTAGACGTTGCCTAACCTCTCTGTCTTATTCACGATGCCTAATGCACAGACGAGCGTTCGATAAGCGACCCATGAGGTACCGCCGCTTACCAAATGCTCAGCAGATGTCTAATACGCTTATTGGGCGCGGGCACTGCACATGGAAACGTGGCTTGTCGTGTACGCGACTGAAATAGCTTATAAATGCGGCTAGTTTTATCTTAATCTCTTAACATATTGTCGTATTTTGGGAAACTAGCGTCCTTTCATTAAGTCTTACGAAATGATTGCCGGTAGGATTTATGACACATTTCTTATGGAATTATAGCGTTCACTAACTTAATTTTTTTGGAAAACTGTTATAGCAACAAATGTGTTCTTTGTAAATGTTCAAAAAGTATTTAGTTTTGTATATTACTTTAATAAGATTATTGTTTAATTGTTAGTAGATTACTATTTAATCACTTGCTAATTATTAGTGATTTGCTTCCAAATTCACTCAAATTTGCCTTCTCGAATTCACTTCTGTTGATTTGTAGATGTTAGTTATCAACTGGTCGTTAAGGTATAATTACTTAACATATTTCATATTCATTTTGTTGCTCATAACGCATGAACCAACTTAACTACTGCCAGCGACTACATTGTGGTAGAAAGCCCCGGTAGTTCCTTTTATGTTAGTATTAGTGTAAATCTGCGGTAGGTTGTTAACGTAACTGGTTACCTCAGTTTCTTAAGGGTAGGTAAAAATTTATGACTGTTGTGCGGTGGGAATGGGACCAGATGTTTTTCAAAACCACACTTTCCCTCCCTCCCTACATCCCTGCCTCCCTCACTCACTTCCGCACTTTGAAAATAATTTACCTTCATTTTCGCTGTGCATTAGTGGCATTCGCCTACAATGACAAAAATACCACTTACAAAGGGAGGGGGCGGTGAAGAGAAAGAGATTCGGACATTACAACATGTGGCTGAAGTGGTTTGACACCGCTCTGGTGGGAACTTGTCCTAGATGTTAGATGATGACATCTTGAGTAGTGCTTTCAATTGTCGTCGTTAAGATTTGTCCTTTAAGGATCACCACACTTACTGTGGAAATTAATGTGGGAAGCCATGTAGCCCTTTCATCCACCCCTTCTCCTCCCGCTTCACCATTTGTGTTGTCTTATTTGTCCAGCTTCTTAACAGGTATGGTAGCAACCGTGATACTCGGATTTGGGATCACATTTTTTTAAATACGAACCTTACGGGAAAATTTGCACGTATATTTGTATTTTAAGGTTTCTTAATGTGAGTATACTGCAGTAGATGGGATGCTTTAGCAAATCAATTTTAGTCTTGATAGCCACAATGCAAAGCAATGGTTATCAGCGCTGCTAAATGTTCCAGGTAGTTTCTAATCTTTTCCATTTTAAAGTATAACACACCTAAGACTAATACTGGTGATTTCAATCGCTGGTTTAGCAAATGGATAATTTTCCTCCAAATTAGCTAATTTGCTTATACATATAAATTGAATATTACACACCAACTTCTTTGAATGCCTCCTTATTAGACTCAAGCAAAAAATAAACTTCTATTTTTAGGCATTGTTAAGATATCTCGTCACATTTCAAACTAGTTGTTGTACTCATTATCTACATTCCATTAATCTTTTTTTCCGGTAATCGTTTATATTTTCTGACTAACACAATGTCTACACACCTTAAATGCCATTAAAACACCAAAATATTGGCTAGTAGACGCTGCCTTAGATGAAGGCACGAGCGATGGGAAAAATACATTACGGTTGCCCACTTATCTCTACTTTAGACTGAAGAATCATACTAGGTGGCTTGTTTTTTTACAATGAACTTTCAATCGAATTCTCTCAAAGTGATCTGCAGCGTCATAAACATAGCATCTGGTCTGCCATTTGATGTTTTTCATTGATAGAAGTGCGAAAAGGGAGATAAAGAAAAAGTTTGTGTACCCACGAAAGAGTGGCGGAGTGAATGGTTGAGGTAGGGTGTGAGCGTGGTTCCACAGGCGTGGCGCCTGTTTCGGCAAAGTCCATCAATCGCCGCTGCGTGGGAATCGTCACCCATCCATCCGTCCTCCAGTTTACCCATTCGTCCTCGAGTGTCAAGTGGGATAGAGGAAGTGGGTGCAAGGGGTGTTCCATGGTCCTCTATCCCTCCCCCCTTCAAATACAAGCTTGCGTGTTTACGCCTCTGCCTCTTCATAGCTCATGTGCCAGTGGAAATAGCATTTATGGGCGGAGACTTATAAATCATTCCATTTAGTGTGAGGACTGGGATGTGAGCACACAACCCCTTCCTCCCATCCTTACACCTCTCCCTGAATTTACTCCTATCCCTGCAGCGTTGATGATACCAATGCTGCCACGGTCACAACCACTGTTCGTGAAAGGTGTTTGGTAAGGTAGATAAACCTATCGTCTATACATTAAATGGAGGGTGGTCATTCTTTTTGGTCTTTTACACCAGTGAAGAATAAATATCAATGTGAAAGTAATTCTAGCATCTAATTTATCTCCTTCCATCAAAAGCACAAATTTGCTCAATGTAAACTTGTGTTTAACCCCTAAAATAAATTTATGGAAGAGTTTTTTTATTTCACTGGCTATACACACATGATAATTGCAAGCTGTGAACGGACACATCCCAGTTGGTGGTGAGAAAAACCAGCAAGTGTGACCACTTTCCTGTTGATATTGCTATGCAAAAATTTGACCAGGCTTTAATTTTCATGACTGTGTAATGATACATTTGAAGCGGATTTATCCTTAATGTAGGGGAATGTTAACCAATTTTTTTATTTCCACTGTTTTTAATGGCTCTTGCATTCCTGCGCTTGCATGAGTAGATGACAGTGAAGGTTTTAGCCTGATAAGTCTATGAAAATAACTCTTAAATTTAACCCCACATTTCTCATTATTTTGGAGCTGAAGGAGCTTCAAGTTATCGTATGTAATCTTACCCATCTCTTCAGTAGTTAAAAATCTCTTATATCTGTGTTGTATAACTCTTTGCTTCTTGTGGTTAGCTTAATTTTCTACCTATTTATTTTTATTTTAAGAACAATGTTATTGTACATTTTTCTCTAACTTGATTTGATTTGTATAAAGGTAAATAAGTAGTGGCGACCAGAATACAAAAGTTTATGGAAAGTAAGCAAAACGGCATTTTTATATTTATCACCACTTGTGATATTTAGTGGTTTCTTTCGCCTTTAAATTTCTGTAACTCAGCTCATTGGGAATTCAAAATAATTTATAATCTGAACATGATAGCAAATATTTGTTCCTTAATTAAATGAATGGATGTAAAAAATATTGAAGGAAAAAGAATTGAATACGGTTTATACTTCCAATAGAACATATAAGTAGCCTACTACGATTAACTCAAGAAACCGGAGTCTCGGCCTAAATACTTGTAGGCAAACAACACTAATACCAAGAGCATGGAATTTTCAGATGGTTTTGATTCAAAGTATTAAATACTTAGCGTTCTGTCTGCTCAAGCCTTAAGCCCTACCATTGCATGCCAGAAAGACAATCATGAAGTAGTGGATGCATTGTTTGCATTATTTAAATTTACATTTTAAATTTACTTAGAAAATTGTGCGAGATATCCTAAGAAGTGGTTAGAGCCTATATGGAAGAACACATGCTGAACGGTGTGACCATATTTTCACGTGTAAAATTTATTTCATGTACCATGGCGTTGCACATCCAAGGATAAGAAGAATTCAAATAATTCTTTTTTTTAATTACCTAGATCGAAGAAAATTTAATGGAGAAATCTAGTTCAACGGTTCATTGGTCTTTTGTAAAAGTTAAATTATTATTCTAAATATGTTTACTCTCATTGGCAGGCACGTCTTATTGGAAATATATATTGACGTTTAAATGAGGAATTCAAGAAATTATTATTGGAAGAAATGGGATATAGTATGGTTAGCAGAGTCAGTGAGAATCTGTGCAAAGAAGAGCGCCACTTGCTGCTCTGTCCATCATTCACTTGCTCTAGCGCTGTTGTAGCTGCTACAAAGCGCTAAATGGAGCGTGGTTCTTTGCCTTCGGGGTAAAAATTGCTCAATTAATTAAGTGATAGGAGGCACAATAGGCGGATTTTCTTTTGTGCCAATGTTATGCTTATTTGGGTTCGTTATTTTAGTTTATATCGTACTAGCTGTCCCTCTAATTTTAAGGGAGTCAATTAGTAGATTGGTTAATCATGCAAAGGTTGTCATAACACCCCGCTGCACCACAAGGACACGATAGTTAGAAAACAAGATTTGAATTGTGATTTTAAGTCTAAAAACGTTTTATTTCCTATTCCTTAGTTTTTTATCTAATTCTTTTATAAGTCCATTCAGTTGTAACATCTACAGTCCTAATGTTCTTTCTTACAACATTTTGCGTCTTATCAGAACATTATATTTTTAATTTGAGTTTCTTAGCACGTCTTCCTTTGTGCCTGTTTAGGTCCAAAGATTGGATAATTATAAAGAACCAGATTTAATCACTCTCTCCAATAGTATTGCCATATTCCCTATTTTAGTCCCTTGATTCCAAGTGAGATCTGTTGTTAAAATACATGGTTTGAATTCTATAGGTTTTGCCAGTTGTTCAGTAAATAACAAACCTTTTGTGATTTACTCAAAACGTGGTCAAGATTGACTGCCCCCTCAAATGATCATTTCATAGGTTTCAATCTTTTTCTGTACAGACCAGTAAATCAGCACAAATCAGATCGAAAAACTGTTATTTGGAAATAAGTTTCGTGAAATTAATAAATGGAATATATTTAAGCATTACTTTATGAATAGTTTATTATACGTCAGGGTTATGGAACTCGATGAATAATACGGCTTCAAGTTTGTGAACATTTGTAAACTACGAAATGTATTTAAAAAATATCTGAAGTGAATGACTGTTGATAGGCCAAATTAAATCGATGTACATTTACGAAAAGTATCGCAATCAAATCACAACAATGGTACTAAACTCTTCTTTGCTCACTCTGTCGAAAGAATTGTTGATTTTCACTGTTTTTCCGAATATTCTCTGGAACGCTCGAGGGTAGTTCGGGTAAGCTAAAAGCACAAAGTAAGACTTAGAGCCGTAAGACACCTCTCCTATGGTACGACAAAAAAACAAGGCATTTGTTAAGTACCGCGCAGCAGGTCACCTGAAAAGCGGACAGTCTTGCGTCCGAAACGTTTGAATCCAGTGCTTGTGAACGGCCAACACCAAAAGCTCTTTGACTCATGCGGCTGTATGCGTGTGTTTGCATTCATGGGCAAGTATGTGTTTGAGGGGTTTGCTTTTTATGTGACCAGACGAACCAGACGCGCTGTGTGTGTGTCCCTGTTCCAGATTACGTTCTTTGCACCGGCAGCAGCAGCGGACTTGGGCTTACGCAACACCGCGCGTGCGTGTGTGTGTGCACGTGCTCCTGCGCAAGACCCAGTATCCGGATTCCAGTTTGCCACTAGCAAATGGGCGCCCAGCAAACGCAAATTCGATTTGTCGCGCC